GCGGCGGTTGCGAATCTGGCGTCCGCGCCCCCTTCTCGCCCGATTGTTTCGGGGGAGGTGGCGGTGCCGAGCGCATGCCAGTCGAGCTCCACGTCAACCTTTGGGCAGCCCCCCCCCCCCCCCCCTTCCCCCCCAGTGGCCGAGCCCTGCCCGCGACTGTCGAGCGCGGGTTCGTTGCGTGCAGGCAGCAAGGCGCGCTGGCCACATCAAGCTTTGCAAGTGGTACGACTTCGGCTATTCGCTAGGCTTGCGCCGCTCCGCCTGTAGACCTGGCCATGGCACTGCGTGGTTTGGCAAATCCTGGCGCGCGCGCCCATCATATTGTTCATGCGCGCGCGTGGTCCCTCGCGCGCTCGCACGTCGCAATGCGCCCTCGCTGCGCGCACCCCCCCCCCCCCCCCCTCCGCCTTGACTGGCTCCCCTGGCGCGAAGGTCAGCGCTGCCCAACGGTTGCAGCTGCCCTCGGTTCGCTCGGGCGCCGACGCGCGCCCAGAGCCGCGGCGCCCGCCAGGTCGGTCCGACGACGACGTCGACGACGACGACGACGACGACGACGACGACGACGACGGCGACGACGACGACGACGACGACGACGACTACGGACGGCCACGGGTGCCAGGCGACGGACGACGGGCGACAGGCGATGGGCGACGGACGACCCTGGCGGTTGCAGGTGACGGACCGCGGACAACGGGCGACGGACGACGGACGACGACGACGACGACGGCGACGGAGGTTTCCAGAGGCGCCCTGAAGCTTCAGATGCCCCAGCTGGCGGGGGCCGCGGGGCCCCCGCGAGCTCGCGGGCTCTCACGAGCCCTCGGTCTTCGCGCCCGTGCGGGCTTGTGCCTCCCAGGGCCGCACATAGACGAAGGGGTTTGGGAGATCGACGGCGCGACCACGGGGTTCGGCGTCACGCACCCGCCGTCGGTCAAGGAGCGGCGCGTGCAAACGCGTCGGATGAGGACGAGTATGAGGGGGGGGGGGCACGGGAAGGCGGCAGCGGCGATGAAGACGGGTGGTTGTGTTGGGGGTTGTGATTCTGAGCGTGTTGGTTGTATCCCTAGAACTTGATCAAGTGGATGATCGGGTGCTTCAACGGTTCGGCTGGCGGTCGCAAGGACGGTTATGGCTTGTGGGACGGCGGTTGGATGTTCGGCCGCTCAATAGCCGCGACCTGGCCGCGCACGAAGGACAGGCGCCTGGATGGGGAGCAGTTTTACAGGTGCGGCGACGAGGGGAAGTGGGACTTGTACGCGGTGATGCCCAAGAACACCATGGACTACGGCACGCGGATCAACGTGCTCATGGACGCGAAGGTCGAGGCCGTCAGGATTCTCGGGAGGATGCGCGACGGCGGCATCGTCGTGGAGGGCGTTGAAGCGTCGCAGCTCTCGAAGATGGCTGACGGGATGGACAAGCTGCTCGAGGCGACGTTCGCCAGCGCCGTGAACGACCTCGTGGGCGAGGCTTCGGAGATTGCCATCGCCGCGTTCAAGCTGAACAATGGCATCGGCGACGGCGCGGCCTCGGCGGCGTGCAGCAGCAAGCGGGTCCTCAAGGCCCGAACGGGCTCCCGCCTTCGCTCCCCGCTGCCCTCGTACTCCCCCCTCGCCGTCTCTCCGATCTTCCCCAGGCAGCTTCCTCGACCGCCCCGCTCGCACCCTCCGTCGCAGCGAGCATTCCCCCGCACCGTTGTTAAACCCACCCACCCCCACACTCTATGGCCAGGGGCTTCCGCGGGCCTCCCTCCTCTTCCGCTGTCGCCGCCTCGTCTCCGCCTGCCCTGCCTAGCTGCCCGCGGCAATCCTGCCGCCGAGCATTCCAGCGTTCTCGGCGGCAGGTGCCCGAACCGACGGCGGCAGCGACGAGGGGGGATGGAGGGGGGGGGAGCGGTGTGGGGGGATATCGAGGCGGGGGCGGGCAGGTGTCGCGTTGCGCCTGTCATCGCGGCGCAGCCCCTCTAGGCTACACGGGGCCGCGATGGGGTTCTCTTAGGGCACCCGCGGGGCAGTCTTGGGTTGAGGAGGGTGGGTGATGCAGTCTTGGAGCTATATGTGGGCCCTCGCTTCAGTTTGGGGGGTGCCTGGGGGCCGTCGCGGGGCCGCTTCGGGTCGCCCAGTGCCCCCCCCCCCAAGCCGACCTGTGTCCTTCCACATGCCTTCGGGGCCAACTTCGGCCTATTGGGTTCGTTCTGGGTGGCCCAGGGGCCCTCGCGGGCTGTTTCGAGGCAGCTTGAGAGGCCTCATTAGCTATGTTGAGGCACGCCGATGCCCTCGGGGGGGCCATCTTAGGGGACGCTTGCGCCGTCTTAAGCTGACGGGGGCTCGAAACATACAGGAACGCTAGCGCCGTTCGCGCACGTCGAGTTGTTTCGGTCTCCGTTTTAGGCATTGTCGGGCCTTGCTGGGCGTCCTGGGGGCCGATTCGACCGTCTTGGCGGCGTCTTGGGCCATGTCGAAGCCATCTTGGGTTGTCTTATGGTCACCTTGGGCCGTCGTGGGCGCTCCTTGGCCCGCGTTGGCGGCCTTGGCGATCTGCCTGGGCCGCCTCGGGCGCCATCTCCGACGCCCTGGGCGCTTCGGAGGGCCCCTGCGGGGGCGGGGGGGGGGGGGGGGGGGGGGGCGAGCGGGCCCAAGTCCTGTTTCTTCCCTTTTCAATCCCCTTCGCTTCCCCTCTGTCCGTCTCCACGTGTCCTTTTCGTGCTTCCCCCGTTCGCTTCCTACGTATGCCCGTCGCCCTTTCTGTCTCGCCGCCCCCCTAGTCGCCTCCCGCCCCCGCGGCCCCCCCTTTCGCGTCCTCGTCTCTTCGTTTCCTTGTCGCCCTCCCCCGCCCCCCTCGGCCTCTCCCCCGCGGGCCCTTCCGACCGCTTCCCCCCTCCCCCCTCTCACCTTTTCCTTTTTTTCCCCGCCGCCCTCGCAGCCCCCCCCCCCCTTCCCGCCCCCCCCTTCGCGCCTCCCCCCCCCCTCCGCCGCCCTCTGCCGCAGGGGAACAACAGCGACGTGGAGGCCAAGAAGCGCCCCAAGAAGTAGGAGGCCGCGCCGCGCCCACGGCGCGGCCCGAAGCGGCGAGGAAATACTGTGAGGAGGGAGGTGGGGGGAGAGAGGCGTGGGGCGGGGGGAGGGGGGCCGCCGTCGTCGACGTCGACGTCGACGTCGACGTCGACGTCGTCGTCGGCGCCCGCGCCCATTTCCTCGCCGCCTCGGGCGGCGCCGCCCCGTGCCGCCCCGCGGCCGCGGCCGCTGCGCTCGAGGCGCCGCGCCTCGCACGTTCGACGCGCGCCGTGCGCGCGCCGCAATTCAAGGATTGAAATGGGAAAGGGGAGAAAGGGCGGGGAAGGGGAGAGGAGGAGGGTCGCTGAGCAAGCGCATGACGATGGGCGAAATTCGATGGAGGAAGAGGTGGCAGAGGGAGCGGGGGAGGAGAGAGACTAGGATCAGGCAGGGCTGGAAAAAAAGCGGAGAGGACGCAGGAGGACGAGCAAACTACTTTCTGGAAGTTGAAACTTGCGAGGGCAAGGAGGACGCGCGAGGACGCTAGTAGGAGCAGGGGGAAGACGAATGCGGGATGAGTAAGAGATACCTGGATAATTTGAGGTACGCCCACTTACACAAACACCGCCCTGGGCTCCCTAGGGCCCCCCCTGGGGGCCACTACGCAATATAGGGGTATACGTTTTGTTCTCATTGTTGGTCTGAGGCCTCTTGTATATGTGTTGGGGTATCGTGGGGGGCCCCAAGATGGCCTCTTGGAGGCGGTTTGGGCGCCTCTTGGGAGCCTCTTGGGGCCTCGCGTGGTATCTTCTGGGCCTCTTGGAGGCCTCCAGGGAGCGTCTTGGGCGCCTCTTGGCGACCTCTTGGGGCCTCCTGGGGGCTTCTCGGGGCACACATATCGAATGTTCGGCTTGTGGTCCCCTGCTTGGGCTCTCTTGGGGCTGTCTTGAGCGTTTCTTCGGCCATCTCGGAGCCCTCTTGGGCCATCTTTGGGCCCTCTTGGAGGCGTCTTGGGCTGTCTTGGGGCGGTCTTGGGAGCTTCTTGAGCCGTCTTGGAGCGTCGGTTTGTAAAATCTACGATGTTGGCCTCTTGGGGCTCTCTCGGGAGGCCTCTTGGAGCGCTCTTGGGGCCTCTTTGGGTCCTCTTTGGCCGTCTTGGAGCCATCTTCGGGCGCCTTGGAGCACTCTTGCCCTCGACAATGGAATACAGCGTAATTTGCGAAGGTTTATGGCTTCAGGGACGCGAGCCTGGAGTAATTCACGAAAGTGTGTTGTCTTGGGGACGCAGCAAGCATACCATCTACGCGGGAGGTCCGCATCGGGGGCGCGAATCTCATCATTTTTACCTGTCCCACTCCCCACCAGGCTTTCTGACGACGTGACTCGGGCGTGGGCCCCCCGGCGGTTTGGGGCTCCCCCACCTCGCGCGGGCAGCAGCAGTTTACAGCAGGAAGCAGAAAGTGAGCGATCACAGTGAGAACCGGAACCTGCAACTGGAGCAGGGAGCAGCAAGCCTAAGCCTCGCAGCCTGATGGCCCCGCAAGGGGACCGGCGGATCTTGCAACCGGGTATTCGGCTGCTTGACCTCGAGTAGCGCGATCACCATCCACGACGAACATCTCCACACAAGGGGCTCTGCTCGAGGCTGGAGGCTCGTCCCGACGCATTTCTTGGATCTTCGTCGTTGTTGTCTGCTCTTGCTTGCCTTCGCTTTCATCTCCACACCGTGTTCGTTCGCAGGAGCTCGAGAACCCCATGAACGTTCACAGATGGCGCAAGCTGCAGGGTTGCGACCCAGCCATGTACGAGATGATGCAAAAGGCTCGCATTTGATTTGTTGCCTCTGGTCGCCTCTTGCCCCCCCTTGCACTCCTCCAATCTCTCGTTCTCGCTGAACCCGAGCGCGTCTCCCACCTTCTCTTGTTCCCTTTTCCACCTCTCAAGCCGGGTCTGGCTTGCCACACCTTTCTGTCGCGTTTTGTCGATAATGCAGGACCAGACCGAAGCCAGACATCCTCTCAAATCCATGAAGTAGCTCGGAGTTTCCTCCCCCGAGTGGCCAATATGTGAATGGTACTTCAAATTTTGCCCAGGACCGTGACTTTGTTTTTAGCTCTTTGGGACCAGTGGCTCCTGATTCCGCCTCCCCCAGGCCGTGGCAGTCAAGAGGTGTTGCATTTGATGCAGATGCCGGTAGGCTTTCAGATCTGATGGCGCGAGTAGTTTGGCGGCCGCGCGCAAGACGCCGTCTGACAGGTGGTTCCAGCCGCATCGGGGCCACCACCCCGCACGCGCTTGGGCAATCTTGGCAATCGTGCCGCCATGCTGTTGTGGCTCACGGTTGTAGTTAGCGCGGCGATCTGAAGTGAGGTCCAAGCATTTCTGTCGTGGGAAGTCCGCCATATAACAGCATGCATCCGCATCCGAGCCATCATGCAAAAGATCCGTGGCTGTTCTGGGTCAAGTTTTTGGCGTCAAAGGGAGGGTGCCACCACCCACCAAACTACCCCAACCCAACCCGAAGGCATTATTGTGCTCCCCATTCCCAGTGGGGGGGGGGCGTCGGGGAACATTCAGATTAGCCTGGCGAAGGACCGAACCAGATGCAGTTGTGAATCACGCAGTTGTGAGTGTCGTCTTCGGTGAAGTTGCTCATTAGGGCATGTTGGCACCGCGACTGGGGCCTTCGGTGGAGCTCCCTATGGGGCCGCGAAACGTGTGAGGGGTGTGCCGAAAAGGGGTTGCGCGGACGCATGCGGGCACCGCCATTGGGGCCTTCGGTAGAGCTCCCTATGGGGCCGCGGAACGTGTGAGGGGGGTGTCGCAATGTCTAGCGGGGACGCATGCGGGCACCGCCGTTTAGGCTTTCCGTGGAGCCCCCTACGGGGCCACGAAACGTGCGAGGGCTGTGCCGATACGGGGCGTGGACGCATGCGGGCACCGCCACTACGTTCGGTACAGCTCCCTATGAGGCCGCGGAATGCGTGAAGGCTGTGTGTGCCGACATGGGTGGCGGGGACGCATGCGGGCACCGCCACCACGGCCTTCGGAGTGCTCTCCATGGGGCCACGAAACGTGTGAAGGGTGTGCCGAATTGCCCGGCGGGGACACATGCGGGCAAAGCTATTGCGGCCTTCGGTAGAGCGCCCCATGGAGCCGCGAAACGTGACACGTTTGGCGGGGACGCATGTGGGCACCGCCATTGGGGCTTTGGTTGGAACTCCCTATGGGGCCACGTGTGAGGGGTGTGCCGGCATGGGTGGCGGGGGCGCATGTGGGCACCGCCACCACGGCCTTCGGTCGAGCTTCTTTGGGGACCACGAAACGTGTGAGGGGTGTGGCGGCATGGGTGGCGGGGACGCGTGTGGGCACCGCCACTGGGGCCTTCGGTGGAGCTCCCTACGGGGCGGCGAAGCGTGTGAGAGGTGAGCCGATACGGGTGGCGGGGACGCATGCGGGCACGGCCTTGGGTAGAGCTCCCCATGGGGCCACGAAACGTGTGAGGGGTGTGGCGGCATGGGTGGCCGGAACGCATGTGGGCACCGCCATTGGGGCCTTCGGTGGAGCTCCTTTCAGGGCCGTGAAACGTGTGAGGGGTGTGGCGACATGGGTGGCGGGGACGCATGTGGGCACCGCCATTGGGGCCTTCCGTCGAGCTCCCTATGTTCCGACGAAGGCATCTATACACCACCACCGTGGCAGATCAGGGCCATCCTGGGCCGTAGGATGGTGTATAGACCCTCCTGGCTCGGCCAGGAGGGCGTATACACCATCCTAGGGCCCAGGATGGCCCTGGCCTGGCACGGTGGTGGTGTATAGATGCTTTCTGCGTATATGTGGCCACGAAACGTGTGAGATGTGTGCCGACATGTCTGGCGGGGACGCATGTGGGCACCGCCACCAGGGCATTCGGCGGAGCTCCCTATGGGGCCGCGAAACGTGTGAGGGGCTGCTTAAATTTGCGATGACGGTGAGGACGAGGAGGAGGACGAGGACGATGACGACGATGATGATGATGATGATGATGATGATGATGATGCTGATGATGATGATGATGATGATGATGATGATGCTGATGATGATGATGATGATGATGATGCTGATGCTGATGATGATGGTGCTGATGATGATAATGACGATGATGATGATGCTGATGATGATGCTGATGATGCTGATGCTGCTGACGATGGTGGTGATGTTGCTGATGACGATGATGACGATGCTGCTGCTGCTGATGATGACGATGCTGATGGTGAGCGTGATGATGATGATGCCGAATATGATGCCAGCGATGCCCATGGTGATGATGATGATGATGATGGTGTTGATGATGATGATGACGATGATGCTGATGGTGGTGATGATGATTATTTTGGTGCTGCTGCTGCTGATGATGATGATGTTGGTGATGATAATGATGATGATGTTGGTGATGATGATGATGATAATATTGATGGTGGTAGTGGTGTTGGCAATGCTAGTAATGAGACTTGTAATAGTGATGATGCTGATGATGATGATTGTGATTATGACGATGATGCTGATGCTGTTGATGATGCTTATGACGCTGATGATCATCATGCTGATGGTGCTGATGATGATGATGATGATGATGATGATGATGATGGTGGTGGTGGTGGTGATGATGATGACGATGATGACGATGTTGCTGCTGATGATGATGATGCTGATGATGCTGATGATGCTGCTGCTGCTGCTGCTGCTGCTGATGATGATGATGATGATGATGATGATGATGATGATGGCGACGAAGGTGACGAGGCGGGTAGAGGCAAGGAGGGGGAGGGGGAGGAGGGGGAGGAGGAAGGAAAGGAGAAGACGTGGGGCGCTGTCTCTTCACACCACAGGATGACTGGGAAAGACAGATGTGGAACCCGTGCCCCCCCCAAACCCGAAGTTTGGGTCCTCGGGTTGTGGTGGGGTAGTCTGGCAGGTAATCAGAGTGCGGGATGGCTCGAGGGAGCGCGGCCCAGCTGCGATGCTCCCGTGGAGGGGCTACGCCCGAATCGCTGCCTCGGTTTCAAATGCTGCCATGATCTGGTACATCTACGGCTTTTACTTACTGAGCATCGATTGGGGGCTTTTCGGGCAGCTCCAGCATCTCCAGCACGGCGAGTCGCCGAGGATGACCGACTATATCTGGGCACGGAACTTCGACGCGGCGTTCAAGCACCTCCGGCTGTTCTCGTTCTCCGCTGCGATGTTGCCGAGCCTTGACGTCTATTTGTTCCTGGGCGTTCCTGGATCGGTCGTCCACCTCGTCCTGGAGCGCGATCGGGTCACGTGGCTGCAGTCCTTCCTGAAGCTGCGCACGCCCTGCTGCAGCGCCCATCGCGCTGCACGGTGGCTGGAGATGTACTACTGGAGCTTAGTGCTGGGAAGCCTGTCCTTCCTGATGCTCGCCCGCGTCCACATTGACATGTCATGGCCGCACTACTTTTGCAGCGCAAGTGGTCTTTTGTTCACGACCACCGCCTTGTGCCTCTACCTTGTCATGCCCTTCCAAGTCGCTCTGGTGGGTGCAGACGGTTGCTCGGAGTGGCTGGCCCAAGCGAAACGCTGGGTCTTTCCCTCGTTGTGGCTTGTTCTTGGGCTCACCGCCATGTGCTTCGCGTCTGCATTGTGGAAGTGTGAGCGCCTCGGTGACGACCGCCCATCACTCGTTTTTGGAGTTCTCGAGACCATCACGATCACGGGATACCAGCTTGTTCTTGGAGTCTTCGTGGTTGACGATAGGATGATGGCGAGAACGAGGGTTGCTCCTCTCAAGGCCGATTGAAGCCAGTGCCGTGCATGCTTGGCGAGAAAAGCATCACACCATGCAATGGATCACATCCCGTGTGTTCCAGCCAAGACGCTGAAAAAATGACCAGCTTGGGTACCCATCGGTCGTTGAAAGTTGATATTTCTGGAGCCCCAGACTCTTCTAGCCCCTTCCTACTCAAGATTCGGCATGTTTTTTGTTGTGTTTCGTAATTCCTTGGGAGGGCCTGAGACCAACCTGCTTTCTCCGCCTTCCTACTTCCTGCTTTGACGGTGGGTTCGCGTCGCGTCGACCGGGGGCGACCCCAGCGCGGGCGTATACGGTTGAACGCCGCCCGTGGCCCAGAATCGGCCTTCACGTAACGGCCGATCGTTCAAGCTTGAACGATCCCCGCGGTGTCAGGAACCAACGCCTTGGCATCGCTCGGACGTGTGCATTTTTTCCTCGGCGAGAACCATCGAGGACCATCCTGGACCACCGAGCAACAAAAAAAAACACACTCGAAACCAAACAATGCACGGGAAATCGACGCCCGAGCGACGGCAAGACGCCAGGGTCGACACGACGCGACCCTGTCGTGCTTGCTGCTTCCGGCCGATGGGTGCAGGAGGGGCTCTCCGCTCGGGCCCGTCGTTGAACGATCGGGCCTTCGCGTAACGGCCGATCGTCCAACCTGGAACGATCCCCGCGGTGTCAAGAGCCAACGCCGGGGTCGACACGACGCGAGCCTGCCGTGCCTGCCTCTTCCGACCGACGGGTGCAGGAGGGGCTCTCCGCTCGTTGGGGGGGGGGACCGCCCCTCAGACCAGCGAGCCGCTGCGTGGCCGAGGGCCGCCGTGACCAGGAAAGCGCCCCCTCCGCTCCCTCTCTACGGGACGTGAAAGCGACCACAGCCACTGCTTTTCTTTTGCTGCCGCCTTCCAGTCAGCAGAAGCAAAGCAGTGGACAGCGGCACCGTCGCTCCTTGCGGCCTTTAAGGTTAAGTCGGGCATGTCCCTCTACAGGAGGAAGATCTAAAGATAGTGCAGAAGTGCTCTGGTGACGATTTTTCTATGACTTAGTCTAACTAGTTACTAGTTTTGAGTCTTTTGGGGTATGTTCTAGGTTCTCGTCCGAAATCTGCCTGTTGGAGGACATGCCCGACCTCACGGTCGCGCGACAGCTGGCACCGCCGCTCCTTGCGGCCCTGAGGGCCACGCCCCTCGCCCGCGGGCACGGCGCC